TGTGGCAGGCCTGCAGGGCCGCTATCCCAGATGGGCGCCGGTTCGTGTCCTGGCTGCTCCACTTCCCATCCAGCTCTCTGCTGTGGCCTGGGTCAGCAGTGGAAGATGCCCAAGTCCTTGGGCCCCTGCACCCGCGTGGGAGACCTGGAAGAAGCTCCTGGCTTTAGAGTGGCCCTGCTCCAGTCATTGCAGCCATTTGGGGAATGAACCAGTGGATGAAGACCTCTCTCTCTGCCTCTGCTTCTCTGTAACTCTGCCTTTCAAATAAATAAATAAATAAATAAATCTTAAGGAAAAAAAAAAAAGATGACCCAAGCGCTTGGGCCCTGCACCCGCGTGGGAGACCTGGATGGAGCTCCCAGCTCCTGCTCTGTCCCGGCTCCACCCCGTCCTTGTGACCGTGTGGGAGCGAGCCAGTGAGTGCAAGATCGCCATCTTTCTCTCTGTAACTCTTCCAAATAAATAAATATTGAAAAAAAAAAAAAGACATTTGCAGAAAGAATGTGGGAGGGCTCGGAGAATGCTGGAAAGGAGGTGGAGCAAAGACGGCCACACAGCCAGGCAGCCGCCACCCCCACACAGGGTCACCCCGACACAGGGCCACCCCCACACAGGGTCACCCCGACACAGGGCCACCCCCACACAGGGTCACCCCGACACAGGGCCACCCCCACACAGGGCCACCCCGACACAGGGTCACCCCCACACAGGGTCACCCCGACACAGGGCCACCGTGACACAGGGCCACCCCCACACAGGGCCACCCCCACACAGGGCCACCTGGGACACAGGGTCACCCCGACACAGGGTCACCCCGACACAGGACCACCCCGACACAGGGCCACCCCCACACAGGGTCACCCCGACACAGGGCCACCCGGGACACAGGGTCACCCCGACACATGGCCACCTGGGACACAGGGTCCCCCTGACACAGGGTCACCCTGACACAGGGCCACCCGGGACACAGGGTCATCGGGACATAGGGTCACCAGGGACACAGGGTCACCCCGGACACAGGGTCACCCGGGACACAGGGTCACCCCAACACAGGGCCACCTGGGACACAGGGCCACCCTGACACAGGGCCACCCCGACACAGGGTCCCCCTGACACAGGGCCACCCGGGACACAGGGTCACCCCGACACAGGGCCACCCCGACACAGGGCCACCTGGGACACAGGGTCACCCCCACACAGGGCCACCCCCACACAGGGTCACCCCGACACAGGGCCACCCCCACACAGGGCCACCCCGGGCACAGGGTCACCCCCACACAGGCCACCCTGGGCACAGGGTCTGCCGCCGCCCTGTGGAGTCTGCCTGCGGTCCCCGGTGCTCCTGGTGGGAAGGGAAGCCGGCTGAGCTCCAGCCTGGCGGGTTGCTGCGCACGGAAGCAGAGGCCGCAGGGCCTGCGCAGGGTGTCAGGCACAGCACGGCCGCCCACAAGCGCCCTCCACACCCTGGTAACGAGCCTTTCCCCTCTCTCACTCACTAGGTGTGTTTTGGGGCTGTGTGTCTGCTCTACATTAAGAATGGTATTGCATTACTTTGGCTTCAAAAACGATGGTTAATCTTTGGTCTGTTGAGTATTTTTTTTTTCAATTTTTATTTGTGCATTTGAGAGGCTGAGACACAGAGACACAGGGACATTCAGAGGTTTCCCACCTGCTGGTTCACTCCTCAAACGTCCGCAACAGTGGAGCCTGCGGCCAGGAGCCAGCACGGCCCGTTCCCAGTTCAGTCTCCCTGTGGGAGCCAAGGGCTTGAGCCATTACCTGCTGCCTCCCGGGTGTCCAGTAGCAGGAAGCTGGAATCAGGAGCCGGAGCTGGGGTCCACCCTGGGCTCTTGGACGAGGGACACGGGCATCCTCGGTGCTGGGCCCAGCGTCTGCCTCTCTGGGCTTTTCCTAAGATGATGAACACATTTTTCTCCCCTCACCGTGTATGGAGTGGATATTACGCCATCCTTACCTCCCCAGGAGAAACTCTGCCTGCCTGTAATGTGTTCATCTTCTTTGGAATTTAATTTATTGGAATTTTGTTTCGTATTTTTACATGAACATTCCTAAGTGAACGTGGCTTAATATGCTATTCCTAAATACAGTGTCACCATCTGACTTTAGCTTCAGGGTTCGATCCACTGCGGAGAATGAAGCTGTAAAATCTCCCTGTTTGTGCCTGGAAATAGCAGAGAACTTGTCCCTCCTCTTGGACAGCTGGATTTCACAGCCTGGCTTTTCTAACTTTCCAATTTTTTCTTCCTCTTTGGAATTTTTACCCCCTCATGAGTTTTGGTAAAACATCTTGAGGGGCCGGAGCTGTGGCGCACTAGGTTGGTCCTCCGCCTGCGGTGCCGGCATCCCATATGGGCGCCGGGTTCTAGTCCCAGTTGGGGCGCCGGATTCTGTCCCGGCTGCTCCTCTTCCAGGCCAGCTCTCTGCTGTGGCCCAGGAGTGCAGGGGAGGATGGCCCAAGTCCTTGGGCCCTGCACCCCATGGGAGACCAGGAGAAGCACCTGGCTCCTGGCTTTGGGTCGGCGCAGCGCTGGCTGTTGCGGCCATTTGTGGAGTGAACCAATGGAGGGAGACCTTTCTCTTTGTCTCTCTCTCTCTCACTGTCTGTAACTCTACCTGTGAAATAAATAAATAAAAAATCTAAAAAAAGAAATGCATCTTGCTTACTTCTTATTAAAATAAAGGTACAGATGATGCTTGCATGATTTTAATATTTCTTTTGGATTTTTAATTATGCATTTCACCATTTAAAATGTCACTTACTGGGGCCGAAGTCGTGGTGCAGCCGGCAAAACCACCGCCTGAGATGCTGGCATCTCATATGGGTACCGGTTCAGGTTCCGGCTGCTCCACTTCCAATCCCTGTTAATGTGCTTGGGAAGGCAGTAGAAGATGGTCCAAGTGTTTGAGCCCTGAGCCCAAGTGGGAGACCTTGAAGAAGCTCTGGCCAGGCTCGGCTCTGGCCATTGAGGCCATCTGGAGAGTGAACCAGCGATAGAAGACCTCTCTCTCTCTGTCCCTCCCTCTCTCTAACTCAGCCTTACAAACAAATAAATCTTTAAAAAAGTCATTTATCAACAAAATAAAATTTGAATTCAATGAGGATAATTAATTTCTAATTTGTTTACTTTTCCTTGTTTTTAATAAAAATGTTAGTTTATTAATTTCTCTTTTAAAAATTTATTTATTTGAAGGGCAGAGTTACAGAGAGGGAGAGAGAATTTCCCTTCCACTGGTTCACTCCCCACAGGGCCACAGGGTTGGGCCAGGCAGAAGCCAGGGGCAGGAGCTCCACGCAGGCCTCCCACGTGGGTGCAGGGCCCAAGCACTGGGCATCTGCTGCTTTCCCAGGCCACAGCGGGGAGCTGGATCGGAAGTGGAGCAGCCGGGATGCACCCGTTGCAGGGGCAGCTGTACCTGCTACACGGCAATGCTAAACTTTAAAATCTAAACTTTAAAAACGTATTATGGAGCTGGGATTTGCTGGGACGCCTGCATCCCTACCTGAGCGCCCGAACCTACGTCCTGACTCAGCTTCCATCGCAGCTCCCTGGCAGTGTGGACCCGGGAGGCAGCAGGTGCCGGCTCAGATACCGGGCCCTGCCACCTGGTGGGGGCCTGCGTGGAGCTCCTGGGCCTGTGCCACTGTGGTGGGGGCCTGTGTCACCGCGGTGGGGGCCTGCGTGGAGCTCCTGGCTCCTCTGCCACCCCGGTGGGGGCCTGCGTGGAGCTCCTGGGCCTGTGCCACTGTGGTGGGGGCCTGTGTCACCGCGGTGGGGGCCTGCGTGGAGCTCCTGGGCCTGTGCCACTGTGGTGGGGGCCTGTGTCACCGCGGTGGGGGCCTGCGTGGAGCTCCTGGCTCCTCTGCCACCCCGGTGGGGGCCTGCGTGGAGCTCCTGGGCCTGTGCCACTGTGGTGGGGGCCTGTGCCACCGTGGTGGGGGCCTCTGCCACCGCGGTGGGGGCCTGCGTGGAGCTCCTGGGCCTGTGCCACTGTGGTGGGGGCCTGTGTCACCGCGGTGGGGGCCTGCGTGGAGCTCCTGGCTCCTCTGCCACCCCGGTGGGGGCCTGCGTGGAGCTCCTGGGCCTGTGCCACTGTGGTGGGGGCCTGTGCCACCGTGGTGGGGGCCTCTGCCACCGCGGTGGGGGCCTGCGTGGAGCTCCTGGGCCTGTGCCACTGTGGTGGGGGCCTGTGTCACCGCGGTGGGGGCCTGCGTGGAGCTCCTGGCTCCCGGCTTCGGCCCGGGGCCAGCTCTGGCTGCGCGGCATTTGGTGAGTGACCCAGCACAGATCTTTCTCCAGCTCTGTGCCTTGCAGATGAGTCGGAAATGGACAACCACATCACAAGAGCGAGTGTGGAGGTAGTGCGTCGAGCTACGTCCCTGCCCAGGCAGAGGCGGCCGCGGGCCTGCCCATCGCCCACGTCCTACAGGGAACTTCATGGGGCCCGGGTGAGGCTGCACCTCCTGGCCGCCGGTTCGAGTCCCGGCTGCTCCATTTCACGGAAGGATCCGCGGCACTCCTCACTTACTAGAGATTCGAGGGTCTCCCGACGGCAGGCAGGCCGCCCTGGGGCTCCCGACCGCGTCCACCCGGAGGCCGCCCTGCTCACGGCGGTCGCCCGGCCAAACCCAGGCCCTTAGGGCACGAACACGGGGCGCCACACGACCTTCCACGCCAGCCGGAGGGCTGCGTCCTGCCCGCCCGGGGCCCCGGCAGAGCCTACGCTCGGAGAGGGCGCGCGGACGCGGACCGGGGCCACCCCGCGCTGACGCAGCCCGCTGACCCGCGCGGGCCGCTCGGACAGCCCCGGGGGCGGAGCCCCGGCCCCGCCCCCGCCCGCGCCGCAGCCCCGCCCAGCGCCGTCCTGGGCCCGCCCCGCGCACGCGCCGCACGTGCCGCACGCGCCACGGGCCCCCGCGCACGCGCAGCGCAGGCCCCGCCCCGCGGCCCGGGGGCGCCGCCGCAGGGCCCGCCCAGTGCGTCTTGGCCGGCGGGGCGCCCGGGCCGCCTCACTCGCGCAGCCGCGGCTCGGCGCGCTGGCCTGGCCGTGCGGGCCCTCGGCGCTCCGGCCTCGACCGTCGGAACGCACCCACAGCCCGGCCGCGCTGCCGGCCCCGGCGCCATGGCTCAGAGCGGGGCCCCTGGGCTGCAGGAGGAGAACCTTCAGGGTGAGGCCTGGGGAGGCGGCGGGGGCGGCGCGGGGAGGCCCTCGCGGCGGGGCCGGGCGGGTCGGACGGGACGGAGAAGCCTGCGTTCCGCGGCGCGGGACCGCCTGGAGTCGCGCCCTGGACCCCCGGCCCCGGCTCGGCGGAGTGGGGTTTCGGGGTCTCTAACGTCCGTGCCCGGGAGGCTTTCCTGGGGGAGGGGCGCGGGTCCGCGGCGGCTCGCTTGGTGCCCACGGTGCAGGTCGTCCGTGCGCTACAGAGACCCCACGGTGCAGGTCGTCCGTGCGCTACAGAGACGCCCACGCGGGGAGGGCGGCGGCCTGCGCGTGGGTCCGCGGGGCGCGGGCCCGACCTCTGCGGCCTGCGAGGGGCGGCCGCCGCGCAGGGGGAGCGCGGGAGGAGCGCACGGAGGCGGATGCCGTCTGCTCGCCGCTCCGCCGCTGGAGAGCCGGGCGGCCGGGGTTGAGAGCGCTGGGGACGGGGCGATGGGCCCCGCAGCGCCCGGGTCTCCTGGTTCTCGAGCCCTGCTTTGGAACGGCCCCGTTTTGAGCGCCGTAACGCAGCGATTTCGAAAACTGCAGTGACTGACAGTGCCGCCGTGACGTAGCCCGGGGTTTCGGTGCAAAGCGAGACCCCAGGGGTGCGCCGTGGCCGCCCCGCCCTGGCCTCTGGCTCTCCCGTGCCCTGCGCACACCGGCCTGCTCGGTCCCGGCCAGCGTCCGATGGCGCTTTCTCAGTGTCCGAGAGAGGACGGCTGCACCGGGGCAAACTCACTGCGGATCCTGCGGGCCTGGGCGTACGTGCGGCCGGGCACTCGCTCGCTGCCCAGCCCAGCGCCGTCACGTGGGGCCTCGCAGCTGCCCAGGATATGTAATCCCTGCCTGCCTGCGAGGTTTGATCGCCTCTTGTTTACCTCTGGCCCGCGGGCAGGCCCAGCGCCGGCCCAGGCGGCCCTCCCTGGGCCCGGGCAGCAGGCTCGGGAGCCCTGGTCCCTGCTGCCCGCGCTCCGGGCGCCCGCCCTGCCTTTCCTGTGCTCTCGGTGTTCTGCGGGGCGGGGGGGGGGAGGAGGAAGTCGCATTTGTCCTGGGGGGGGGACGCGTCGGGTCCATTGCCCGGGGGTCTCAGGCAGCCGGGTTCTGGTCTCTACATCGCAGGAAGGTTCAGAGGTGAAGTGGGAAACAAGGCTGCACGGTGGGTGGGGGGACTCGGGAGCGCCGGCGGGGAGCTTGAGCCACGTGACCGGGGCGCTCGTAGAAGCCCGCAGCCTGAGTTCTTACGTCCAGTCGTGCCAATCCGGTCTCTTTCCTCTCCCCGCTAATGGGCTTTTGAATGGAAGAACAGGACTTCTGCAGCCCACCCTCGGGGAGAAGCACTGTGGGGCCTGGGGCTCCGGTCCCTTCCAGGCTCACCAGGCTCAGCAGCTCCCTTGCGTCAGGCTTCCCGGGGAAGTGCACACACACCCCCCCCCCCCATCCCTCTGCAGCCCCGTCTCCCGTCTCGGAGCCCCCGGCTGTGCACCGTCTCCGTGGGGCTTCTGGGTGTGCAGTGGGTGGCACAGGGATTCTGAACTCGGGGACAGGCCCTGGGGCGACTGTCCCATCCCAGACGCCACGTGAGGTTCGGGGGCTGGCTGTGGCCACGGAACCAGCACCGGGGGACGGGGGCCTACAGGGTTACCCCGGCTCTGACAGGGCAGTGGGGTGGAGGTCCGACGAAGCTTGCTATTTTAACAAAATGGAAGAATAAGTGGAACCTAAGAAGTGGCTTCAGAACTCTGAAGAGCTGGGTCGTATTGAGTCTGTGGTTGAGGGGGTTTACATCCGCCTGCTGTGTATCTTGTTAGCAAAGTCAACCAAAAACTAAAAAACAAACCTTGATTTATTTGAAAGGCGGACGACAGACGATCGCTTGCCAAACAGCAGCCTGGGGTGGCTGGCCGGAGCCAGGAGCTCCGTCGGTCTCACGCAGACACAGGGCTCGGGCCGGGCCGTCGGTTGCCGCCTGCCGGGGCAGGAAGCTTGGTTGGGAGCAGGGAGCCAGTACCAGACGTGGGTGCTGAAACCTGCGCCGGGGGGGGGGGGTGCTGCCAGCCCCAACCACGCAAGCCTGGCTAGAGACTTCTAGAATGAGGTCCCTGGGTCCTGCCTTTGCGGTGCTGGGAATACATTGTGGTTACAGTTACCAGGAGACACTGAACTGGATGGCACCAGTGCCCAGCTCCGGAAGCGAGGGGTTAGCGGCGGCCTCTCACTTGCAGGAAGCACCTTCTCAGGGAGTTGCTACAGGTTAATGATAAAACTCCTGTCCCTTAGTAAATCATTTCCTGAAATACAACTTTTGAACCCAAAGTTTTTGTTTTCTGAGTTTGTTTATTTTGAGATTTGGAGACGGAGCTTCCGCCTGCTGCTTCACTGCCCAAATGCTCACCACAGCCGTGGCTGGACCAGGACAAAGCAGGAGAGCGGACTCGTCCAGGTCTCCCTGCCGGGCGGAGGCACTCCCCTGCCTGCTGGGCTGTGGCCGCGGCCGGAAGCAGCCAAGACTCCACTCTGATGGATGGGGCGTCCAAGCAGCGCCGCAGCCGCGTGCTGCACGCCCGCGCGGGGTGACGGGAGAGTGCAGGGCCTCGGGTTGAACGTCCCCTCCAAAGTTCAGGTGTGTGCTTTGATAGTTGGAGTTGATCGAGGGGGCTGGCGCTGTGGCGTGGTGGGTAAAGCCGCCGCCTGTGGCCCCGGCATCCCCTGTGCATGTCCTGGCTGCTCTGGCTTCCTGCTGATCCACCTGGAGAAACAGCAGAGGTGGCCCCAGTGTTTGGACCTCTGCCACCCATGGGGGAGACCTGGATGAAGCTCCCGGCTTCAGCCTGGCCCAGCCTTGGCTGTTGTGGCCCTTTGGAGAGGGAGCCAGCCGAGGGAAGATTCTACCTCTGATTCTCTCTGCAACTCTGCATTTCAAATAAATCTTTTGAAGTCAGCGAGGCCTTGAGGGTTCCTCCTTACCTGTGGGTCCGGGTGCCCTGCTGGAGGGGCTTGGTGGAGGGCACTGGCTTGGACTGCTGACCCCAGAATGTGAGCAGCATCTCGTCTCTGGTTTCTGTGAAAGCAGCACCGTCAGGGACGTGCATTGGCCTCCCCATGTGAGGAACTCCCGCTGCCTCTGTCTGCAGTTCCTGGCCCGGAGCTCCAGTGGTGGTGAGACGTGAGCGGTGAGCAGGCTGCCCGAGACACGCATCTCATGGCAGTGCCTGGGTCACGCCCAGCTCCGCTTCCCGCCACCGCACCCTGGAGGCACCACGTGGGAGACTGGAACTGAGTACCGGCTCCTGACTTTGGCCTGGTCTACACCTGGCTGTTGCTGGCACTTGGGGACTGAAGCGTCACGTGGAAGGTCTCTTCTCCCTGCTTTTCAGAAGTGGAAATGAAGGAACAACACTTAAAAGGAACACCTGGGGACTGACTGGTGCTCCTGGAGCCAGCACATGAAGCCTTGGGAAGAGAGGAGGAGTGGAGGGAGGACACTGGCAAGGCCCCAGGGAGGGGCCTTGGAGGCCCACGGAGCTTCAGAGTTTGTGGGCACATCCCTGTGGTGGCAGGGTGGTGTGCCCTGCAGTGGGGGCGCTGGCCCCTCCCTCACTCCCGAACTGTGTCCTTCCTGATAGAGTACTGGGCCTGAGGGTCGTGGGGACCCCTGGGTGTGTAGGTGGCAAGGCAGGAGTGTGGTAGCCTGGCACCCCGTTTGCAGCTGGTGTCTGTAGGGGGCATTTGCCGCTCGCTCTAAGCGGTAGCAGGACTGAGTTGTTGGGACAGTGGCGGGTGTCAGAACCTTGCTTGTTGGTGTGGGGGAAGGAACCCCACGTTTGGTGCCAGGGTGGAGCTGGAGAAAGGACCACTCCCCTAGAACTGCGTACCTGTCAGTGTCCAACCTGGGCAGTGTTCGCTCAGGTAAATGGAGAATCTGCGTAACACAGCGGACCCAGGGAAACAGGAGCCAGAGGCCGCGGCCCGGGGAGTGGCTCCGCGTTCAAGGGGCCACCGTCCCCAGGCCGGGGAGACTGGAGTGCTGCAGAGCCCGGGCCCGTGTGAATTAATGATGCCCCACGTGGGCCGGGCCAGCGCGGGGCAGTGCAGGCAGCTGCACAGAGAAGGCGTGGGGCTGGGGCTGGTGACCGTGTCTGCTGCAAACCCACCCTGCATTCCCAGGCCTGCCTTTGGTGCTTTTTCGGATGGTTAGGTGCGCTCTGTGCACAGGGCCAGGCCTGCCTCCCCCAGAAGAGGTGCTGTGGCATCGGGAACTTGCCCTGCTTCCCTGTGCTGCGTGGTGCTGCGTGGTGCTGCGTGGTGCTGCGTGGGTGTAGCACAGGCACAGCTGGGTGATGGTTGCTGTACTTAATGGTAGTGCCTGCAGAATTAACTTACTCATTTTCTAGTATGACTTTTCTCCCGATCTTCTGTAGTCTGCCTCCGTCTTCTCCCTACTGCAGCCCGTACCTCTGTGTGCCGCCTGCATTACCTGTGAGCAGATCTTTGCTATACAGTCAAGCAGACGTGTGACACGGCCGCCGTCTGTCTGTGTGCTGGATTGACGAGGGGGCACCGCAGTGCAGGGGAGCGAGGCTGTCCCGTCTCAGGTCGGGTGGGGGTGGCACGCAGCTGTCCCGTCTCAGGTCGGGTGGGGGCGGCGCGCAGCTGTCCTGTCTCAGGTCGGGTGGGGGTGGCACGCAGCTGTCCCGTCTCAGGTCGCGTGGGGGTGGCACGCAGCTTCCCGTCTCAGGTCGGGTGGGGGTGGCACGCAGCTGTCCCGTCTCAGGTCGCGTGGGGGTGGCACGCAGCTGTCCCGTCTCAGGTCGGGTGGGGGCGGCACGCAGCTGTCCCGTCTCAGGTCGGGTGGCACGCAGCTGTCCCGTCTCAGGTCGGGTGGGGGTGGCACGCAGCTGTCCCGTCTCAGGTTGGGTTGGGGTGGCACGCAGCTGTCCCGTCTCAGGTCGGGTGGGGGCGGCACGCAGCTGTCCCGTCTCAGGTCGCGTGGGGGTGGCACGCAGGTGGGTGCATGGGGGGAGCAGCCACAGGGGAGCATCACGTGCGAAAGGCTCTGTGCAGGGAGCACACAGCCGTGGTGCAGGCCGAGGTCCAGGTGACCCACAGTCATGAGAAGCGAAACCCTCATTAGGAGTGAGACGCCAGTGGGCACGGCGTGTGGCGCAGAGGGCAAAGCCGCCGCTGCAGTGCCGGCCTCCCATAGGGCACCAGTTTGTGCCCTGGCTGCTGCACGTCCAGTCCAGCTCTCTGCTGTGGCCTGGGAAAGCAGCAGAAGATGGTCCAAGTGCTTGGGCCCTGCACCCACGTGGGAGACCTGGAAGAAGCTCCTGGCTTCAGATTGCTGAAGCTCTGGCCGCTGAGGCCAGTTGGGAGCTCTCTGTTTCTCTCTCTCTCTCTCTCTCTGCCTCTCTTCTCTCTCTGTGTAACTCTTTCAAATAAATCAATAAATCTTTAAAAAAAAAAAAAGTGAAACGGCAGGTAAAGCGCAGGGGCTCGGCGTGAGGCGCCGCGGCCCCGTCGGCTGTGTGGGAAAGTGGGACCATTTGCTCATAACCCGAGCACACGTTACTTTTCAGCCCAGTAATCCTCCTGCTCAGTAGGTGCCCAGCCGAAGCCCGTGCAGGCGTGCACCCTGGACAGGTACCGAACCTCTGTCTGGTAACGGGCTGCCTGTGCACGGGGAGTGAGGGCGAGGCCAGCCCAGGCTGCGTGGGGGCGTGTGTGCTACGGACATGGGTCACTGTGTGTCGCCGGGGAACCTCTTGGGAATGGAAGGCCTGCAGGGGTACACGTTCCAGTCCCAGGCTGGCTGCATTCCAGCCACGCCCCCTTTCCCTCCTCGTCCCGCAGGCTCCTGGGTAGAACTGCACTTCAGCAACAATGGCAACGGGAACGGCGTCCCAGCCTCCGTTTCTATTTATAATGGTGACCTGGAGAAAATCCTGCTGGACGCCCAGCATGAGTCCGGACGGAGTAGCTCCAAGAGCTCTCACTGTGACAGGTAGGCGTGGACAGGCCGCGCGTGGCAGGACTGCTGCCCTGGGGAGATGGTCCATGGATCAACGGGATGCCTGGATTCCAGGATAGGGGGCTGCACTCGGGAACAGCTCTGATGTTGGGACTGCGCCCCCTGGTGGGGAAGCTGACCTGGGGCTGTCTGTGGGGGGACCAAATAAAGCAAAGGAGCCCCCCGGAAACAGCGGAGCCCCGCCCTTCTCGCAGCTGCAGTATGGTCGGTCTCTAGGAACACACGCCTCTGCGGGTCCTGGTCAGGGCGGGGCCGAGTCACTGGTCTAAAGCTGGGTGCTCCCCAGAGCCGGGAGGCGGACCACGGAGCTGGCGGCGGCAGTCAGCCCCCCGCCTCTTCTGGGGGACACCCGGTGGCTGACTTGCTCCGCTGTCAAGACGGAGGAGTTCGGTCCTTGCGAACGGGCCCTGCCTCTCTGGTAGCATGTTGACGTGGCCGTCTGTTCTTCCATTCTGTTCACACCTTCCCAAGCCCGCCGCGCTCGCAGACACCGCAGGACACTACCAGAGCTTCTGAGACGGACACGCACAGCACCGGGGAGAAAACCAGCTCCCAGGTAGGCTCGGGAAGGGGCCGCAGCCTCGGAGGCGCTGAGCGGGACAGGCCTGGCTCTGAGGGGCTCTGGGTGGGGATGTCCCCAGTAGAGGGACATCACTGAGCTGACCACAGAAGGCGTGGAGGGAGGAACGTGGAGCGTGGGTGCCCTGCCACCATCCAGGGACTCCCGGCAAGCGAGACAGCGTTCCCTTGTGCCTGCGGCCCGGGGGAGGTCGAAGGGTGGCAGGGAGCCCCCTGCTGGGCGCGTTCCCTCCGCTGTTGGTTGGCCGATTGGGCCTCACTGGCTGTCAGTTACCTCCTGCTGTGGCTCTGGGCGTCCTTCTCACTCCAGACACCGGGTCCTTCCTGGCACCCAGCGCGGGGCTTAGCACTGGCAACTAAGCGGCCGGAGCCCAGGGTGAGACCGCTTCACCAGCCTGAACTCAGCCTGGTGCACCAGGCGCTCGGTGCTGTTGTGGGCGGGGCTGCAGACCCTCTGAAGGCTGAGTGTGAGCCCCAGGTCTTTCTGGGGTTTCGGGCCACGAGCGCAGGGCTGTTCAGTGTACCCAGGAGCGCAGTGCTGTGTTCAGTGTACCCAGGAGTGCTGTGTTCAGTGTACCCAGGAGCGCAGGGCTGTGTTCAGTGTACCCAGGAGTGCTGTGTTCAGTGTACCGAGGAGCGCAGTGCTGTGTTCAGTGTACCGAGGAGCGCAGTGCTGTGTTCAGTGTACCCAGGAGTGCTGTGTTCAGTGTACCCAGGAGCGCAGTGCTGTGTTCAGTGTACCCAGGAGTGCAGTGCTGTGTTCAGTGTACCCAGGAGTGCTGTGTTCAGTGTACCCAGGAGCGCAGTGCTGTGTTCAGTGTACCCAGGAGTGCAGTGCTGCGCTTGTCAGATGCAGTGTGTGTGTTCTGAAATGGCTTGTCTGTAGTGACCCCCAGAGCTGGGGGGGAGGCGGGGCTAGCAGGCAGTTGGTACCCTCGGCACTGGCCGGGGCGGCGCCCCTGGCACGGGCAGAGACTGAGTGGCAGGAGCCGGTTGTGAGGCCCGAGTGCGGCTCGGTGGACCCACGCTGTGGGTGTTCGCATTGTTTATTTCCCCTGCTTTTAAAAAGGAATTCATGATTAGATGGGGAATTTTGAAAATGCAAAAAGGAAAACACCTACATTCCTGCATTTAAAATCCCTTTTAATTAGTATTTTGTACAGATACCTGATTTTTTTAAATGCAGCTTAAACCGCGGTGGTCTGTAGACCTCTTTGCTTTCCGCGTCCCACGGGAGGACCTTCCCCTGCCTGTGCCTCCACGCGCGTCTCTGGCGGGCTCGCGTCACGGGCCTCCCTGGAAGCGCGGCTGCCGCTCCTGGCGCCACCGCCATCCCGCTGAGTCCAGGCTGGGCGCTCTGGGCAGGACCTCGCGGCGGGTTCTGTCCGCTCGTCCCCCGGGCCGCCAGCGCCTGGCTCCCTCCGAGCTTGCCGGCCTGCCGCTGGGTGCAGTGGACGCTGTCGCTTGTGGATGTGGCGATTGATCTGCTTTTCCCGTTTTCTCAGTCCGAGGAGGATTTCATTGAGAGAAGGAAAGAAGTGGAAAGCATCTTAAAGAAAAACTCAGACTGGATATGGGACTGGTCAAGCCGGCCGGAGAACGTCCCCCCGAAGTGAGTCTGGGCTCGGCTGGCGGGCGCCGGGTGCGCAGGCGCGGGCTGACCTCCCTGTCCCTGCAGGCAGCTCCTCTTCAGGCACCCGAGGCGCGCGGCCGCGCTGAGCATGCGCAACACGAGCGTCATGAGGAAGGGGGGCGTCTTCTCGGCGGACGTGCTCAAGGTCTTCCTGCCGTCGCTGCTGCTCTCTCACCTGCTGGCCATCGGGCTGGGGTAGGTGCGGCCCGCGGCCCGCGCGGCCTCAGGCCTCGGGGCCAGCTCCCGGCTGTGCCGGCGGCGTGTCCACACAGCCTGTGTCCCCACCCCGCACACCTGGCCGTGCCTCCTGTCCCGCGAGGACGTGGCGTCCAAGCAGGGGGTCCCGTCTGCCTTGCGTGCATCACGCGTGTGGTGCAGCCAGCCTCCCTCGCGCACAGCACGTGGCGCCTGCCTGCGCTCAGCTGGCTCCCCCTGCTGGACGGCTCGGCCACTTCATCCTGGCTGTAGCCTGTGACCCCGACAGGCCGGCGCGGCTCCAGTCCCTGCTGGTCTCCCTGGGAGGGGCAGGCGATGGCCCAAGTCCTTGGACCCCTGCCGCCCACACGGGAGGCTGGACTGAGCTCCACACTCCAGATTGGGCTGTTGCAGGCATCCGGGCAGCGAACCAGTGGGTGCAAGATGTGTGTGTGTCTGTCTGTCAAAGAAAAGATGGATATAATTCTGACTTCAGCTCGAGCAGCGCGGCAGAGCGGGGGGTTGACGGGACCCCCAGCTGCGCTCTCCCTCGGGCTCGCCCAGTCTGGTGTGCGCACGTGTTCCGTCTGGGCTGGCCCGAGCGCGCGTGCCTGGGGCAGGGTGCAGAGCCCCTCCCTTCCCCCACCCCGTCCCCGTGGCCAGCGAGGCCGTCTGTTTCCCGTCCTGCGGGACCTTGTGGGGCTGTCCTTCCCCGCCCGTGGAGATGACTTCTGGCCAGGGCCATGCACCCCTCCTCCTGGCTCCCCTGGCAGGCACCCCTCTGCTTCCTGGGCCGCAGCTGCTGTCCGCTGGGTCGGGGTCGCCCGCCCGCCCCTCCCCACGCTGCTCCACGGCTCTGGCAGAGCTTTCCGGAGTCACCAGGCTGCGCCCGTGTCACCAGGGAGTCCGAGTGTCATTTCCGAGCTTTCCATACAGCTGGGGGACGGTCCCCGGAGGCAGGTTCCATTACTGGACAGGCCGTATCGGGACGCAGCTCTGTCCACGGAGCCCGGCGGTGCCAGCAGCTTCCTGTTGACGCGGGGACAGAGCCCGCGCGCGCTCCTGCAGGCCCGGGCGGCCGGGCTTCTGTGCTTGCCCTTCCCTGAAGAGCCCTCCTCGTGCCTCCCCGGGTGGGCACCCACCCGCTCCCCCACGCCCTGGGCGCCTCTCCCCAGGACTGAGGGCAGAAGCTGGTAGGTGGCTCAGAGTGAGGCCGGCCCGCCCTGCTGGGCGACTTGGCCTGTACCCGGCCGCGGCAGGCACTAAGCAGGGCGCCCGCCTGGCGCAGGGTAACCGCGCTGCCCTGTGCCCAGCTGGCGCTCGGTGGGGGTTCACAGGAGAGGCGGCCTCACGTCCTGTGTAACAGATCTAGGCGGTGCCGCCACGGGCGGGGGACTAACCGCCTTCTTTCCCGCTCAGCATCTACATCGGCCGGCGTCTGACCACCTCCACCAGCACCTTCTGAGGACGTGGACGCGCACGTGCACGTGGACGTGGCCCTCGCTCACCCGGGGGTCGCTGCGGCTGCGCGGTTCCCTGAGTGCAAGAACGGACGCGGGCCGTGCGGGAACCGATCAGTGCGCATGTCAGGCTGATGAGTACCGCCTGCACCGGTCTGGTTGCCAGTTTTCTTAGGATATTAGGTAGAAATATCTGGTAGGTAGTTCTAATACTCAGCCATGATGTCCTATAGCATGAGAAGTGGAGCTGACACGTGAATCCAGTCAACACGACGTGCAGACGAGGGAGTGATGTGGATGGGAAATCAGCACAGCAAGGGGTCTGTCTAGAACAGAATCGTGGCCTTACATTCACACCGTTGTAGGAAATGTGCTGCATTTAATGGATAAGGTCGTCTACTGAAGACACTTGATTAAGCTCATTGTTGCTAAGTCATGCTTAGACACGGGGTGGGGGCAGGTGCAGCCCCACCCCGTGCTCCGTCGGCCAGGCGCTGCTCCCTGGGCGCTGGGGTCGGCCGGGTGCCCTCGCTTCTCCTCCTGCACTGCTTTGTGCTTGACCCCGGTGTCCTTGTAAAGCAAATCTGTCTACTTTTAAGAGACTGGAAATAGAAAAAAATAAATGTTTGCCAAACCTTCAGAGGGTACTGTGTTCATGTGCAGTTTCACATCGACATCAGGAAGCCAGGCCCGTCCTCCCTTCTCCGTCCTGCATTAGTGGGGCTCAGGGGGCAGGGGGCCGGGGGCCGGGGCTAGAGCAGCCGGATGGGCGGGCTCTCTGGAAATACAGACGAGTGACACGACCCACCTGTAGGAATCTGCTCTGAGTATCAGACTCTAAGAATTTCAAAGTGACAGGTTTGGGGAGGAGTATTTTGGTGCTGGGGCTGGGCCAGCGCTGTGGTGTAGCGGGTGGGCTGCTGCCTGCAATGCCGAAATCCCATACAGGCACCGGTTCGAGTCCTGGCTGCTCTGCTTCCGATCCAGCTCTCTGCTGTGACCTGGGAAAGCAGTGGAAGATGCCCAAGTCTCCTGGCTTTAGACCGGCCCAGCTCCGGCCATTGTGGCCAATGGGGAGTGAACCAGCGGATGGAAGATTCTCTCTGGCTCTTTGTAACTGCCTTTCAAGTAAATTTTTTTTTTTTTTTTGACAGAGTGGACAGTGAGAGAGAAAGGTCTTCCTTTGCTGTTGGTTCACCCTCTGATGGCCGCCGCGGTTGGCATGCTGCGGCCGGCACACCGCGCTGATCCGAAGCCAGGAGCCAGGTGCTTCTCCTGGTCTCCCATGGGTGCAGGGCCCAAGCACCTGGGCCATCCTCCACTGCACTCCCTGGCCACAGCAGAGAGCTGGCCTGGAAGAGGGGCAACCGGGATAGAATCTGGCATCCCGACTGGGACTAGAACCCGGTGTGCCGGCGCCGCAGGCGGAAGATTAGCCTAGTGAGCCGCGGCGCCGGCCTCAAGTAAATCTGGTGCCAAAACTGAAATCCATGTGTGCAAGTTTTCAAAAGGTTAGAAGTGAACTCCGCCTGCGTGGGTTAAAGCAGTTCCTTGCCCTGGTTTTGTGCTGAGGCAGCGCCCTCACGGATGGACCCGTGAGCTGCAGCTCATCGCAGGGCTCCCAGCGTCTGCAGGAGCAGGAACCTGGGCCGAGCCGGACGCAGGCACAGGTGATCCAGCGAGGAGCGCGGGCGTCTCCGCTGCCCCCACCTCCGTCGTCCACACTGCGTACGGCACCGGGGACAGTGCAGAGCATCTGAGTGTGGACCACAGGCTTCCCAGGAAGCCGAGTGGCTTCTGGGGTGCGCTGTCAGTACGGTGGGGTGCAGAGGAAGTGGGCCTGGGGACGGACACGGGGTCCGTTCCCTCCCACAGACGCTGTCCTGCTCGGCTGCACAAGTGAGAAGCTGGCAGTGCCACTTTAGTCTGCTGGCCACACAGCGCCCAGCCCTGCCCAGCTCAGACCTGGGGGGGCTGGCATTTGGCACAGGGGTTTTGGCGCAGCCTGGGACACCTGCCGCCACACCAGAGCGGCCAGGTCAGGTCCCTGCTCCACTTCGGACTCCAGCTTCCTGCTGCTAACGTGCCCCCTGGGAGGCGGCGGCCATGGCTGCAGCGCCGGGCTCCCTGCCCCCTCGGAGAGGACGGGGTTCTGGCTTCCTGGCTGTGCCTGGCTGTGCGGGACCTCTGGGTGAGCCAGTGGATGGAACGCTGCCTGCTTTTCAAACAAGCAGAGGTTAAACCACCAACCTCCAGACAGCTACGGGGACCCCGCAGCAGAACCCAAGGCAGAGTGGGCGCGCGAGGGTCGCGCGTGGCTGAGGCGTGCGTGCCCGCACTCTGCATCGCTGGCGCTGGGTCCCACTAATGCTTCAGACCCTCACTGAGTGAAATCCACCGGGAACCCTCAGTGGGAAGGGGGCTGGCTGAGCTGCGGGGGGGTGGGGAGGACGCACGGCCCCCGTGAGCGCCAGCGTCTCCTGCTGTCCGTCCGTCCGTCCGTCCGTCCGTGCGTGCGTCCGGGGGTCAGCAGTTCTGCAGCCAGCTGACGGCAGGCGCGGGAGGCAGGGGCAGAGCGCGTGCACTGCGGGTCGAGTTGCAGGTCCGGCAGGGACTCCTGCTGTGCGCATGCATGTCCTGTGTGTGAGTACACACGTGTCCTGGCTCTGCGTGCATGTGTGTCCTGTGAGTATGTGTGTGCCCTGTGTGAGTACATGTGTGCCCTGGCTCTGTGTGTGTGCATGTGTGACTACATGTGTGCCCTGTGTGCATGTGTGTCCTGTGTGAGTACATGTGTGACCTGGCTCTGTGTGCATGTGTGTCCTGTGTGAGTACATGTGTGCCCTGGCTCTGTGTGAGTACATGTGTGCCCTGGCTCTGTGTGTGTGCATGTGTGCCCTGGCTCTGTGTGCGTGCATGTGTGTCCTGTGTGAGTACATGCGTGCCCTGGCTCTGTGTGCATGCGTGTCCTGTGTGAGTACATGCGTTCCCTGGCTCTGTGTGCATGCGTGCCCTGTGTGAGTACATGCGTGCCCTGCCTCTGTGTGCATGTGTGCCCTGTGTGAGTACATGCGTGCCCTGGCTCTGTATGCGTGCATGTGTGCCCTGTGTGAGTACATGCGTGCCCTGGCTCTCTGTGCGTGCCCTGTGTGAGTACATGCGTGCCCTGGCTCTGTGTGCGTGAGTACATGCGTGTCCTGGCTCTGTGTGCGTGAGTACATGCGTGTCCTGGCTGTGCTGAGTGCACCCCGACAGCAGTGAGCCCGGCCAACAGGAAGATCCTGGTTTCCGACAAGCACGAAGCCCACACGGGACCCAGGCGCCAGTGGCCAGAACCGGGACACCGAGTGACCCCGACTGTGGTGTTGCAGGTGTCCACAGTGGAACCCAGTCACACAGCAGGAGTGACAGCCATGCACCCCCGACCCATCGGTGGGCTCCCGAGTGGGCCGTGCGGCGTGAGACACGGGTGTTCTCGGGGTCACCTACCACGTGGGCTGCGAGGCCACCCCATCGCCTCTACCCCGTGAGGCAGCAGCAGGGAACGGGGACGCAGGGCGAGGCCCAGGCAGAGCGGCCCAGGGCTGGGGAGCCCCAGTGGGGGGGGTGGCCGGGGACGCCGTTTTTGCCACCGAGCACCCACGTAAACTCTTCAAAGGAACACGTGAAGAAAATAAGCAGACCTACCTCTTCCCTGCAAGTGTGGTCCCGGGCTAGCGGCATCGCAGGGGCTCCTGGGAAATGGGGTCCTTTCTCCTGGGACGTGGGGTCACGGATCCCCGGCAGCCCAGCCGGCAGGCGACTGTGACCGGCCTGGGGAGGACGGTGGTGAGGGTCCCGGCGCGAGCGAGGTCTGCGCGTCCTCAGGTCACAGCTTGGGCAGGAGGGCTGCTCCCGAGCCAGGGCCGCGCCCGCAGCTCCAAGAGGCGCAAGCACAAGTGTCCCCCCCACCCCGACGGCGCGCACGCGGCCCCGAGGTCCCCTCACCCCGACGGCACGCGGCCCCGAGGTCCCCTCACCCTGACAGCACGCACAGCCCCGAGGTCCCCTCACCCTGATGGCACGCGGCCCCGAGGTCCCCTCACCCCGATGGCACGCGGCCCCGAGGTCCCCTCACCCCGACGGCACGCGGCCCCGAGGTCCCCTCACCCCACTCACCCCACAGCACACATGCACCCCCGAGGGTCCCCTCACCCCGACGGCACGCACAGCCCCGAGGGTCCCCTCACCCCGACAGCACGCACAGCCCCGAGGGTCCCCTCACCCCGACGGCACGCACAGCCCCGAGGGTCCCCTCACCCCACTCACCCCACAGCACACATGCACCCCCGAGGGTCCCCTCACCCCGACGGCACGCACAGCCCCGAGGGTCCCCTCACCCCGACAGCACGCACAGCCCCGAGGGTCCCCTCACCCCGACGGCACGCACAGCCCCGAGGGTCCCCTCACCCCGACGGCACGCACAGCCCCGAGGGTCCCCTCACCCCGACAGCACGCACAGCCCCGAGGGTCCCCTCACCCCGACGGCACGCACAGCCCCGAGGGTCCCCTCACCCCGACGGCACGCACAGCCCCGAGGGTCCCCTCACCCCACGGCACACACAGCACCGAGGGTCCCCCCACCCCGACAGCACGCACAGCCCCGAGGCTCCCCTCACCCCGATGGCGTGCACGCGGCCCCGAGGGTCCCCTCACCCCGACGGCATGCACAGCCCCGAGGGTCCCCTCACCCCACTTACCCCACAGCACACACGCACCCCTGAGGGCCCCCCACCCCGACGGCGTGCACGCGGCCCCGAGGGTCCCCTCACCCCACTCACCCTACAGCACACACGCACCCCTGAGGGTCCCCCCACCCCGATGGCACGCACAGCCGAGGGTCCCCCCACCCCGACGGCACGCACAGCCCCGAGGGTCCCCTCACCCTGACGGCACGCACAGCCCCGAGGGTCCCCTCACCCCACAGCACACACGCACCCCCGAGGGTCCCCTCACCCCGACAGCACGCACAGCCCTGAGGGTCCCCTCACCCCACGGCACGCGGCCCCGAGGGTCCCTCTCATCCCACGGCACACACAGCCCCGAGGGTCCCCTCACCCCAGGGCACACACGCAGCCCCGAGGCGCCCCAGCTTCTCCCAGCACTCTCGGAGCACACAGGGAACCGGCCCCTCCAGGCCGCCTCTCGGCCGCAGCCCAGGCCCAGCAGGAGCCGGCGTTCTGCGTCCACACACCTGGGCTCCGGTCTCCAGGGGCTGCCGAGGAGGGAGGCGGCTCTACCATGACCACGCGGGCCTGCCGTCACCTGCAGGCAGCGTGGGTGGAAAGCCTAAAGCTTCCTTGGGGGAAGCCTTACGGAGCTGACGCCTCCTCTGGACTGGCTTCCAGGCTGGAAAGCGGCAAACACTCAACGCCTCGCAGGAGAGGAGTCCCAGCACCCCAGGCCCCCGGAGCCTCGCTGGAGAGGACCCCCGGCACCCCAGCCCCCCGAGGCCTCCCTGGAGAGGACCCCCGGCACCCCAGGCCCCCGAGGCCTCCCTGGAGAGGACCCCCGGCACCCCAGGCCCCCGGAGCCTCGCTGGAGAGGACCCCCGGCACCCCAGGCCCCCGGAGCCTCGCTGGAGAGGACCCCCGGCACCCC